CTCTCCTAGAAGGTAGAAAAGTATGTTTCAAGCAGCAATTTGCTTCCCTGTATAGAAATGACTAGAAGGTGTTTGGAGGCCAAAGATCAAGAGTTTGATCTCATCTCAGTCACTATCCATGGGCCTCTGTCTTCTGATCTGACCTTCCTAGGGACAATGCGAGTTTTGAATGAGATAACATGTGCATGTGGTTTAAATGTTGTTTAAATCAGGAGGCCAACCATCCTGGTTTGTCAGGGCTGAGTTCCTTAGAATATGGGACTTTCAGTGCTAATGTCAGGGAAGTCCCAGGCAAACTGGGATGACTGGTCACTTTATACTTCCATCAGGGATCAGCAAATTCAAAGAGCTGAGTCCAGCCTGCCACTTGCTTGTAAATAACCTTTTATTGGGACACAGCCACACCCATTCATTTAAGACGCATTGTCAATGGCCACTTTTATACTATAAGGACAGAGGTGAGAAGTGACCACAGATCTGTATGGACAGAGAGCCTAAAATATTTACTGTCTGGCCCTTTAAGAAAAAGTTCGCCAGGCAGTGCCTGTGGCTCAAAAGGGTGGGGCGCTGTCCCCATATGCTGAAGGTGGCGGGTTCAAACCCAGCCCCAAAGAAAAAGTTTGCCAGGTCAGGCGCAGTAGCTCACACCTATAATCCTAGCACTCTGTCAGGCTGAGACTGGAGGATCCCTTGAGTTTAGGAGAACAGCCTGACAAAGAGTGAGACCCTGTCTCTACGAAAAATGGAAAAATCAGCTGGGCATTGTAGTGGGCGTCTGTATTCCCAGCTACTCGGGAGGCTGAGGCAAGAGGATCACTTGAACCCAGGAGTTGAGGTTGCTGTGAGTTAGGCTGACAGCACAGCACTCTAGCATGAGTACAGGGAGACTGTGTCTCAAAAAAGAAAAAAAGAAAACATTTGCCAGCCCCAAATTTTGCGACCTTTTGACAGCAAGTTGCACAAAAGCCCGGTCAGCTGCAGCTGTGCTCACCAATGTCAGGAGCTCCTGGTGTTTATGAGAGTCAAGGCCTATGTGAGAAAAGGAGGTGGGGGTGGGTTTCTAGGAGGTGACTGAGACTCTCTGCTTGACTGAACCACACTCAGCCTCCAGAATCTTCTCCTAGATCCATCTGTGTATTTCCTTGCAAAGTCCAATTTTAATGAGAACTCAGTTAGCAATAACTCCCCACCCTAGATATCTGGTCACCCTCCATAGTTCATGAGGATTCCTCATCCTCCACCACCCCAGGGGATGTCTGGGCACCCTGGCCTGTCTTTAGCAAGAGTCCTGTTCTTGGGTCTGTTCAGCTAGAATCCCCCTGATCCTTGGTTCATCTCCTCTTATTAATTTTCTACCCAGTGACCCCCATCTGCTCCTTGCCAGTAAAGTCCCACTTGGCCAGTCTCCCTGCCTTGAATGAGATCTTCCTTACCATGCTTCAACAAGTGGCATTGAATAACATTTCTCTTTAGCAGGAGGATGCCATTGATGATTAGAGGGGCATTAGTCTGAGATTTGGGGGAACCAAATTCTGTCAGCCAAAGCTAGGTCATAAGTGGAACCCCAGGGGACCAGCCCTCCGTTTGCCTCCCACAACCTGAAACTTTTTCTGGCCACCCAAGGACATACCAAGATGCTCCTGCTGCCCAAGAAGCAGTACTGAACTCAAGCTAAGCACTTGTGAAGAGGCTTCCCGAGGAGCCTGGGGCTGACAGCAAACAGCCAAAGACCAACCCCTGACCCTGTGCTGAGGGGTGGAGAATTCCAGGAAGGCTGCCTGGAGGAGACAGCCTTGCTAATTGGAAGGAGGCAACCATTGTGTGTTCATCACATATTTATTGAGTGCCTGTGCTGTGCCTGACCCTGGGCTGGGCAGGGGAATGCTGCAGCAAACCCGGCAGAGCCCACCCTGAAAAGTGGCTGCAGGGCAAGGCGGACAAAGACAGGTTGGGGCTACTCTGTTACCAGAGGGAAGCTCTTTTGTCCACACAGTCCCAAAGCAAGGTCTTTGGGCTCTCCTAACCCACCCAGCCCTCACAGTCTGAGGCCTCACTCTGGGCTCCCCAGAGAAGGACCTGGAAAATCTGCAGAGCATCAGGAAATGGCCTCGGAATCCTCACTCTTTAGTGCCCCTTCCCTACTGCCTGCAAACGGTCTCCTTCCCACCTGGTGACCATGGCAACCAGAAGACAATGGTGATGGGAGTGGGGTGAAGGAACCCAGTCTTCCTTGGGTTTGTGGGGATGAGACTCCAGTGGCCTGGAGAAAAGAGGATGGCAGAAGGAAACATCAGAAGGGTACAGGAAGGAGAGGGTCTCTCTGGGCCAAATGGCTACTGCCCATGGTCTGTTGCTGGAGGTGGCTGGGCTTCTCTGGAGGCAGGAAGGAGGAAGAGGTGGTTCCACTTGCCCATCCTGCTTGGTGGCAGGACTGTGGCCAGTCTTGGTCCTTGTCTGGGCCAGCCAGGGTTCCTTCTCTGCAGATACCCATCCCTGGGGTTCTCTGAGGAAGCACAGACCCACAGAATGGAGGCCTGAGTGCTCAATGGTGGCCCAGCTGGACCAGGGAGGAAGCAAGGCAGCCAGCCAGGGCCTTGCTAAGGCAGGAAGCTGTGCAGGGTGAGGTCATCGCCTTCATGGTCCTCCCCAGGCTCTGGCATCAAGCCCTGGCTCTTGGCCTTCGGCAGGCGCCCATTGGCCGTAGCAGGGGGCCCCTCGCCCCCATCAGGCAACAGGGATGAGATGCAGACCATCTCAGTGGGAGAGTAATTCCGCACAGGGTATGTGTGGTTCTTGCGGGAGAGGCGGACTGCCAGCACCACGGTGCACACAAGGAAGACAGTGGCCACAAGGGCCAGGATGAGGATGGCCAGCAGGCACTGCTTCACAGGGATGTGGTCTGGGGGCCCTGTAGGGGTGGGAGCCACAGTGATCATAGGGGGAAGAGTCTGCCCATTTTTCATGTTGATGACGGCAGACAGATTACTAGCTGCCACGGGAATACCCTTCGTGGTGGCTGGCTCCATGGATAGGGCCACTGAGGGAAGGGCTTCTTTTGCAGCTGACTCTGTGGATAGAGCCTCTATAATTGTGTGGTTCACAGGCAGGCCCTCTATGGCAGTGGAGTTTGCAGAAAAGGCCTCCATCGCAGTGGGTTCTGTGGTTGGGGCCTCCGTGGCACTGGGTTCTGTGGATGGGGCTTCTGTGGCACTGGGTTCTGTGGATGGGGCTTCTGTGGCACTGGGTTCTGTGGACGGGGCTTCTGTGGCACTGGGTTCTGTGGACGGGGCTTCTGTGGCACTGGGTTCTGTGGATGGGGCCTCCGTGGCAATGGGTTCTGTGGGTGGGGCCTCTGAGGCAGTGTGTTTTTTGGGTAGGATCTCTGTGGCAGTGGGTTTTGTAGATGGGGCCTCTGTAGAGGTGCGTTCTGTGGACCAGGCCTCTGTGGCAACAGGTGCCATGACAATGTCTTCCGTGGCTGCTGGTTGAGTGGTGTGTGCTTCCATGACTGCTGGCCCTGTGGACAGGACCTCCATGGTAGCTAGTGTCATGGACAGAGCCTCCTTGTTGGATGGATCATCTGTGATGGAAACACTCACAGTGGCCAGTTCTGTGACCAGAGGGTCCAGTGTGACCAGAGTCAACTGTGAGGCCAACTCTGTGCTCACATTCCCCACAACTGCCCTTCCTGTGCCCAGGCCAGCAGAGTCCCTTGTGGTAGCCTCCACAGTGGTAGGCTCAGGTTTTCGAGGTCCCACAGAACTTCTCTGCCCTGATGTTCCCATCGTAGTCAGAAGTTTGAGGTTTGGTGTCACAACACCGTTAAGTTCTTCTGGAGGGTCCGTGCCTACTGGTTCATAATCATAATCCTCGTCCAAGAACGTCTGTCTCCGCCCTCGGGCAAGCAGGGGCCCTGGGGGTTTTCTGGCTCCATCTGTCCTGGTGTCCCACAGCCAGAGGCTGCTTCCAGGGCCCAGAAGAGTCAGCAGCAGGAGGAGTTGCAGAGGCATGGCACCTGGGGGGAGACACAGGCAAAGGGATAACAGGACAGCTTCACCTCCAGCCTGGTGAGCACCCTAGACTGTGGCCCTGGGCTACCACAGCCTGGAGCATGTGTGGCGTAGGGCAGCCACCGTGGCTTTAGGCACCCCAAAGACCCAGCATGTCTCTGGCACAGAGAAGACCCTCAGCCAGTAACTGCCATGATTTTTCTGTATCAGCACAAATTAAGCTATCTGGGAGGGCCCTGTAACTTCTGTATGTTTCACAGAAACTTTATTTGCCTCTCTAACATTTTTGGTTAAAACATTTTATTTGTGGGCAAGACAACCCACTGGGGTATAGAAAGAAAATATTATGGCTCAGCACCTGTAGCTCAGCGGCTAGGGTGCCAGCCATATACACCGGAGCTGACGGGTTCAAACCCAGCCCCGGCCTGCCAAACAACAATGACAACTACAACAAAATAATAGCTGGGCATTGTGGTGGGCACTGGTAGTCCCAGTTACTGGAAGGCTGAGGCAAGAGAATTGCTTAAGCCCAAGAGTTTGAGGTTGCTGTGAGC